TACCATCCTCACTTCTGTTAGACTATGCATGCAGTTAGAGGCGAGTACACCAAATATAAACACTTACGTACTACTGGGTTAAAGGCTCTATCCTTTTTTTAAAAACATCATCCTTGATTCTCCACTGCATAAGTTTCTTCATGTTAAATGACATTTCAAAGATGTGCTGTTTTGTTTCCTCTATAAGAATGAATTCAATATAAATAGGAAAAACAATGTTCTCTAAAGAATGGGTATATTTGCTTTTATCAGGTAAGAATTATATATCTGCAATTCTTTTTTTCCACAGCTACTCAGAAGTAATTTAATGCTTACTGTAACTATTATTAGCCCAGGTTTGAGATATATGTACTTTTATTTCTCCTCCTTACAATTTCTGACATTATTCTATCTTAATGTAGTCTAAATATTTTATCATAAGGAAACTATTAATTCCTTTTCGAGATAGGTAGAACATAGTAAGATGTATATGAATAGAATTCTATTGCCCTCTTTGCTTCAACAGTAACTGTTTCAAGGAAGACATTATGATCAAGGAAAATTTTTTTCCAGTAGTAAAACATAAATTTGTTAAAGCTCATTATATTAACATGTCAGTTTGTTTTTTCTTTTTGTTGTTTCTTCCGGTACCAGGAATCAAACTGACGACCTTGCGCTTGCCAGGCAGGCGCTGTGCCACTGAGCTAAATCCCCAGCCCCTATATTAACATGTCATATAAATACCAAAAGTCATTTTATGAAATTAAAATAAAATTCTGCGATTAAAAGAACAAAATTGCCCAAACGTAAAGATCATACTACTTGGTGAAATACTGATATGACCATTAAAAAATAAGACAAAGATATCCCTTTTCTTCATTATTATCCAACATTGTTATGAATGGTATAGCTAACATTTTTAAAATTTAAGAATAGTAACAATATTAAAAGCTGTACAGTTATCTTTACCTTCAAAGATGAATACCTAGAAAATCTACATAATTAAAGTAGCTTATTAAAGTCAGTGATATTTTATTGAGGTAAATAGATACATGAAAATGAATACCTTTTTTCTTCCCCCAGTGACTAACCGATAATGGGAAAAAATCATAAGATAAATTTGATATGAAATCTACATGTCACAAAAGAAAGGGAAAGAATGAATACAAAGTGGAAAAAAGATAAAATCTCCTGAAAGGACATAATCTTGGATATGAAACCTTAATATCCATCCTTCCTAAATTAATGCAGCTTCATTCAATACTGTTATTTCTTAGGAAGGGTTTCAACTGCACAAAAACAGGTGACAGTGGCATAAGACAGAAACTTTTAATAATCTCATATAAAAAGAAGTCTAGAAAAAGGAAATACGAGGCCAGTGCAGTGGTTCACAAATATAAAAACCCAGACTCCTTTCCACCTTCCTGAAGAATGCTGGTTTGTTGCCTCACGATTCTGAGATGGCCAGGGAGAAGGCTGGGAATTGGGTGAATTTTTTGCCTCTTGTTAATATACACCACAAATTTCTAAACAAAACCCCACTTTTTTCTGTACAACTGTTCTGTTTCCTCAATTAGAACATAACTCCAGCACAGAAAAGCACTTACCTTGCTTACTACAGTATTCCTGTACCTGACATGTGGACTATCTGTTGGCTGAATAAACAGCTTCGATGTCAACTAAAAACATGTTTTTTAAAATAGCATTTCTAAATGATGAACATTTACTGTATTACAATCATGTCTTTAGTTCTGAATACTATGACAAAACCCTGATAGGGAAGGTCATCTAGCCTCAGCGTTCTCCCAATCTGTGTCACTGCCCAAATACGGCACAGCTGCCACATTTGGCTTTAATACTCAATCTGCTGAAGAGGCTGTTACAGGTTCATTGAGTGCTTACTGTATTGGAAACTGGGCTCAATACTTTATGCACATGATCCTATTTGTATTCTCAATAATCCCATGGTGAAATATTATTATTCCACAAATGAGAAAAACAATGAGGCCTGTAGCTTAGGATCACAGCACAGGTCAGCCAAACTCCTGATCAAGGTCTGAATCCACTGCTAAACGGCTTTGTGACAAGGTTCTTTTATTAGGCTGAGCCAACTAGCCACTGTTACTGCAATTCATTGTCTTAGTTTTGGTGGAAAGCCCAATAAGTCTGTTCGGTTTCCTACATGGTCACCTTCTGAGGGGTTCAAAGCTATTTGGTTGTCTGCTTTTGGATTGAAGAGTCTGTTTGTAGGATTCTGTTAAAATGCAGCATTCAAAAGGAAGCTGTATTTACAAGATGCACACTGTACTATCTATGAAATTGCTTTGGGGTTAAAGAGCTTTGTTTATATGATACGCTTAAATTTGCCATTATATTTACATCACTGTTGGCTAATATAGCAACACGCGTCTTAGTTTTCTCATTGCTGAGACAAAATACCTGATACTCACAAGTTCAAGGAAGAAAGGGTTACTTCGGCTCACAGTTTGTGGAGCTTTTAGTCCACAGTCTGCTGCTCCAAGACAGGGACATGGCAGAGGAGAAACAGTCCATGGCGTAGTGGACAGAGGGCAAAATGCCATCACGGGAGGAGGGATATATATATAATATATATAAAATGCATCAGGCCACGCCCACAGTAACCTAATCTTCCCTCCAGGCTTTACCTCCCAACATCATACTATAAACCCATCAGTCGAGTAACCCAGTGCCACACATGCATGATCTGGTTACCCCCAAAAGCCCCAGCTATGCCCACCTAAGGCTTTAGAGGGACATCTAGATATAAGCCATACACATTTTCTTAATATGTATGGCTTTGGTTGGGAGACCTCAAATATTTTTCAAATACTTTGTTTTCATGCCAGGTTTCCTTCCATAACTTTTTGAGTTTACATATAGGATTTATATTTAGCCATGTTAAATTTCAACGGTTTTGACCAAGCTGTTCTCATCCATTTGGTCGAATGCTTTTAACTTACGTAATGTATTTATACACATGCACATTTACTGGTATACATAAACCCCAAAGGGGGGAAAGGTGGATAGAACTTTTTAAATTAATGTTGATTAAAAACAAAACATACATTTAGTTCCTAAATTCTTTATGTAAAAATGAGGATTTCAGTTGAATACAGTACCAAAACCTTTACAAATTCCTTTACACAAACTGTGAAAAATGTTAAAGAAAATTTGTTTAGTGACATAATTTGCACTTAATGTCACACAATAAAATTTTTTTGTAACAAAGTACAGTTATAATGGTTAAGAACAAAATTAAACAATGCTACTAAAATTTTCTTTCCTGGGAATAAAGCAGTAAAGTGGAGGAAACTGAGAAGTTTATAGTATCAGCTTCTTGTGACACATTAATCTAGCCTTGTAAAGACTATATCCAAAACTTAGTCTACCTAGGCACATTCTTGCTTTAGGTATTAAACTGTTTTTTCTTTGTGAATTACACTAATGCAAAATTAACAGTTTTAGTGTTCATAGTGGAAGAAATGTTTTAAGAAAAGCTCTTTTTCATTGCTCAAATTTCATTCAGTTCTTGTGCACAAAAAAAAGTATCTACATGTTATGAAGCATTTAGAAGAGTTACTCTATAAAGGCAAATTACAGAAATGACTGGGTCTTAATTCATTTTTCCTATGTATAAAATAATCAGCAACTACCAGGCAAAATTGCTTTCAATAAATAGTAACAAAAAAGATAATTTTTTCTAATATGTTTTCCATTGTACTAAACTCATAATCATATTATAGTTTCATTTTTGTTTCAAGTGAGTTACTCAACTTTGGCTGTTGGTTTGAACTAAATGAAATTTTTTTAAAGGAAAAAAGTACAATTACATCGTAAAAATTTCCAAAATCTCTTGTAAAATGTGTCAACTATAAACCAACTTGCTAAGGATGTCAACTAGCTGAAGAAAAAGAGGAAGAGGTTTAACCATGATTAACACAGACTTAATTTTAAAAAGCCAAAGTATAAAGAACGGACATTTGCTCACATTTAAGTACTTATCATAAGAACTTTACTGCCCTCTTTTGTTTCAACAGTGTAACACAAGAAAGTGCCAGAACAGGGAATCTTCCAGGAATCACTAAAAGACGCAGGTGTAAGGAAGTGTTTTTTTCCAAACAGCAGCAAACGACTCGGGCAGAAAACTTGCTTAACCCACTTCGTGCTGCTTGTCTCACGAATTTTTGTTGTGTGAAGATTTACTGACTTTAGAAATGTTTTATCTGATTATTGCTGAAAATACACCCCCACAGAGAACAGAACAAGTTAGCTGTAAATTTGTAACTTTTAAGATTCAGATGTATTTTAGTAAGCCTAAGACACAGAAATTTATTCCCAGTTTTAACACTGGCTGCACAGTTTATCCTGCTTTCAAATACAAGAATGGGGGCTGGGGATTTAGCTCAGTGGCAAAGCGCCTGCCTGACAAGCGCAAGGTTGCGAGTTCGATTCCTGGTACCGGAAGAAAAACAAAAACAAAACAAAACAAAAAAAACAACTGCAAGAATGTTTAAAAACACAGAAATACAACTTAGGACTTTGTTGTCACAGCCTTACGGCCCTTGTTTGAAGCAGTCTTTTGCTAGTGACCTAAAAACAAATTATGGATTCTCTTTCATTAGCATTAGACTGCATCCAAGTTCTCTCTAACAATTCCACTTAAATTTTGAGGTTTCCTTCTTATATGAAAGATACATGGAGCCTTGGTTTTCTGATACCCGTCCCCTTGGAATTCCCATCTCTTTCCTAGGAATAAACCTAGCCAGTAGAGGGACAAAGAGGTTCTACGTCTATTGCAGAAATGCAGTGAGCTAGTTACTTCATCAGGTGTGCCCACCCACCATCTCAGATGAAGCTATGCTATTCAAGCCTTCCAACAACCACCACCAGTACTCAGCTCACACTTTTTGTATATGAAGACAGGGATCTTCTCTTAGCACCAACCTGTGATCGCATGGTTGCTGAAATTCTTCAGTGGAAAAAAAGAAGCTATAAATTGCTTTTATGACAATGAAATTAATCTTTAATTGGACAGCCAGATGATAATCACTTTTCTTTCCATAACTTTAATATGCATTTTTAAGGAAAAACACATTTCTCATTCAACTAATTCATCCAAAAGAAAAAAGTAAAATATTGTAATTTCAAGTATGTTAACAATCACTTTTTATGAGATAGACAGGAACATTTCAGCAAGTTTTATAAAAATCTGGTATAAAAGTTACATAAAACATTTTAGAAATGATAAAATCAGTTTACTTAACCTACACTCCTTCCAAGACATATTTGTACTTCTTGTCACGGTTTACAAACAACAAAAAAAACACAGCCTCAAATTATTCTTTTAAATCCTGATCAGCTGATCACAATAGCCTAAATGCACAAAGGTTCATCAGGATGCGCTTTGGTAAAAGCCTAAATACAAAATCAAGGCAAACCTTGCACTTGGTATCATGTACATGCACATTTAGGAAGAGCTGTTAGGTTCCATTGTGTAATGGTTAGCACTCTGGACTCTTAAAGAGCCATTAATAAAGGCCTGCAGCACACCTAGAACAAACAAGGCACCTTTACACCTGCTGCACCTACGATCCCCACAGCATGCATGCAGGAGAGACGACGACGCTCCCATGTTACTGACAGCAAACTAAGGAACTCCTTCAAGATGACGTTGTCCCATCAGGGACACAGCACATTTTTCAGTGGCCCTGGGATACAGGACTGGGTCTGCTGCTGCTACTGATTTGCCTTCCTAGCTGCACTATGACACGCTCCAAAGCATCAGAACTAGGACAAGGGCCTTCAGCCTGGAGAACAGACCCCCAGGCAGAATAGGCACCTCGCAAAGTCAGTCAAGACTTCGATATGCTATGGCATTCACAGTAAAACCCTGAGACACAGAGGGGAGCTGACTGCAGAGAGGGGCAGAGTGGTCTGAAAGACTGTGACATGGCAAAGTTCCACCAAAGCCTAGAATACACCGGGACAAACTCAGAAATCACTCTAGTGAGGAAGCTGATATTCAGACCAAGGGGGGTGGATGTGGAAATAGAGGCAGGGAAGTTTCCATCCTGGTAACTCAAAGTGTTTGGCACGTATCCATGTAAGAACCCTGGAATTTCTCTGAGGTAGACAAATTTTAGGAACAAACTTATTTCATGCTTTAAAAAGAACTGAGGGCCAGGGATGCAGCTCAGCGGCACAGCGCCTGCCTTGCAAGCCCAAGGTCCAGAGTTTGATTCCCGGTACCAAAACAAAGCATTGAGGAGGGGTCCTATTTCTAAGATCAACTTTTAAAAATTTTTACTTACTTTTAAGAACTCCTTTCGGTAAAGTGCTTAGATGCCAGCCATTGTATTGCATTATTTAAGGGCCGACATGAAGATCTTACAACTAAAAAAAAAAATCCATGTTAAGCTGAGCTTTAATAAAAAAGGCCTGAATGCACATAAAAGTTCATGGCCAGTTTATATCTTTCTAGAACTCTCTACTGGGACCACACTGCTTCCTCTTGAGACTTTCAGTCCAAGCTCGAGCTGACGTCCTCTGTCGTCGCCATGAATGTCTCGCTCAGGTCCGGTGATCTTCTTTATAGTCCCAGCACACACACGTGAAGCTGCCACTGTGCTGGCTGTCGCCTGTGTCTCCCGTCTGGACTGTAAGCTGCTCAGGGTCTTCGTGAGTGTGAGCTCCATTTCGTGGCTTCACTATCTACCCCCCAGCGAGCACTCAGATGACTCAGTGCCCCATGTCTGCCATAGTCTCTCAGGTGGCCCATTTTATACACGTCCAACAAACTGGAGGTTTACACTTAGTTCGTCACATGAAATTCGGTGAATTATCCTAGCAAGCCACTTTTATTCCTATTTTTTAACCAAGAAGAATTAATCTATCAGGGCTAGTAACTAGGCTACAATCTTGGTTTCTCTCTCTCTGATTCCATTTTTAAAATCACATTTCTTTCATTAAAATATCCTTATGCACATAGTAAATAAACCTGAGTCCCACAATGGCAATGAAATGTGACACATAATGACCCACAGACAGAGCTTTGTGTAACTAGATCAGACAAAAGTAAAATTTTGTGCTTGAAGCCCATTTTTAAACAATTAACAAATCTGAGAATTTGAACGGACACTTGAAATATCTCCAGAAAAAAACACTATGTACTGAACACAGACACATAGCGATTCACAGGGACATATTTTTGTACTTGTTTTGCCCCGATTTCTGCTACATAGAGTGCTCCAGTCTTGCGATCCACTTCCAGGAGATGTGGCAGGACTTGATCCGGGAGCTGGATGGTGCTGATCACAGAACAGTCGCCAACGCTGCCCACCGGGGGCGCTGCCACAACCAACAGCCTGCTAAGGTTCAGCTGCGCCACAATCAAGTACTTCCCATCCGGAGTGAATCTAAGGGAAGGGCAGATGACACAGCACAGTTACCATACACGTTTACTTTCTCCACACTGACGTTCCTCTAGCGCTGAACAGCAGTAGGCACCGATCTGCTGAATGATTCTTTTAGTAAGAATTTAAATTTGATCTAATGCTGTTGAGGGATGTACCAGGTCTGCGATGGTAGAGACACAGATTAGTTTAAATTTAAAAACAAAAATTTAGGGGCTGGGGATTTAGCTCAGCGGCAAAAGCACCTGCCTGGCAAGTGCAAGGTCGTGAGTTCGGTTCCCGGTACTGGAGAAAAACCAAATTAAATAAATAAATAAATAAATAAATACAAAAATTGTCGATATAACAGTATTAAACAAGATAAAACTAAAGAACTCTAAACTACATTCAAACTTTTATTGTCTTTATTTGTTTAAACCTTTGCCAAAGGTTACAGGAGACATCTAGCATATCTTTATTATCGCTGACACTGGGGTTCCATGGAGCACGGGGAGTTTAACTGCTTCTACTTTACCTGGGATTCAAAAATAAAATTTATCACTTGTTTCAATCCATTTCCACCTGCTTTTTCTTTTCTTTTCTTTTTTTCTTATTTTGATGATAATGAGGCTTGAACCCAGGGCCCTGCACATGGTAGACAAGCACTATACCACTGAGCTATATCCCTAGACCCTCCGCTTAAAATTTACAGTGAAGATTTTACACTTTCACCTGTCTAATAGAGGAAGTAACACAAATCAACTGAAATAAGCATTTCAAAATAACAAGAAATAATCACCTGACAGAAGAAGGTCCTTCCTCCGTGAAACAGTTGCTCCATGCCCCTAACCACTCCCCAGTGACTTTATCGAATACTTGGACTCTTTTATTTCCTCGGTCAGCAACCCACACCTGAGAAACCAAAAGCATATCAACTGGGGAAAGATTCACTACATGAGAAGAAGGAAAAGTGCTTATTTTCATTAGTTTCACATACAGTATCTCAGTACTCAAAAGACCCCAAAGAACATATTATAAACCCCATTTTCAGCTGAGGAAAACCTGAATCCGGGAGGTTAAATGCCTGTCTGAACTGCACTTCCACGTGTCAGAACCACAATCTAACTGCTGTCTTAATGCTCTGTCTATGGTACCAGACATGTGATTAAAACAACTAAAAAAACTTGAGTAGGCCCCTGTAAAGCAGAGAGGATTGATAGTAAAAAGCAACAAGGAGTCTTCGTTCTTCTAACAAAGTTCACCTTCACTGCGTGCCATCAGCCTGCCAGTTCCTGGGCCGGGCAACAGGACATTAAACAAAAGCAGCCTCGCTCCTGAGGAACTCAGCAAGGGAGGTACTTATTTATTCTTGTATTACTAAACCTACATTCTGTTTAAAGTTCTCAAGCATTAAATAAGATACAGGCTGGGAGAGTTTAGTAACACATAAAGTATGATAAAATGTTTCCCTTGGGTTTGTCATATGCTGTCATGAGTTAGGAAACTGTTGGTATAAAAGAGGAAGCCCAATTCATTCCAAACGACACTCCTGTATTGTCTGTGGGCAACTTCATGGCATACACAAAGTGAGATGGTTTTTGATGACATGTAGGGAGGCCTAGAGAGAGAAAAAATGAACTGGATGGGAAAGGCGAAGCCTGCTGATCCTACATCCCTCTTCAGACTCTTTGAATTTCTTGGGTTTGTGGATTCAGGGATCATTTTTCAGGGCAACCCCAACTCTATCAATGTGTGTGAATTTGGTAGCCACTGACTTCCTTTCCAAGCAGAAACAAATTCTCATGATCCCATTTCAGTTTCTGATGCCTAAGTAAATAATTTCTCAATGTCTTTTCGTGATCTGTGATTCTTTAGTAAAAGTGAGGAGGATTTTGTGTCTCAGACGAATGACCAAGGAAGAAATACAGTTTGCATCCTAGAGTGCCCTGATATTTATAGTAGTGATGGTGAATCCTTTCAGCGCATTCAGTGATACATAACAGCCTCCTGCAGCATGCGTACCATAGGTTCACCACCACAGCTATACAGACTAGCAGCATTTTCTTTTCTACTTAATACTCAACAAATTTTGATCACAGGAAATTCTGTTTGAAAAACAAGCTTTGACTCTAAAAGGAACAAGCGTTTCATATAAGGTTGTGGTGAGAATTAAATAAGTTAAATTATTTTAAGTGCTCCCAATAGTATTTCTATTAGAAAAAGCACAATCATACAGATCTTAACAGTCATCCTTGTGACTCAGAAATGCCATAATACTCTCAGCAAATGATCTCCGAGGCCTCTCAGGACATTGCTAACCATGGAGAATTTACCTGGGGCTAGGTGTCTCATGCTCTGAAATCTGGACTTTTTCTTAGTCCACAACGGAAGTAAAAACAGGACTCTAACTTCTAGTGCTCAATTTATATATAAAGTTCATCTGGTCAGTTCATTTCTTATGGTAGATAGGAAAATTTAATGATCAAAACATTTATACTTTGTTATTATTGAAAAAAATCCCAATTAGAAGGTTGTTTGGGTCTCACAAAATCCAAAGTGGAAACAGACTAAGTGTCTAATGGCATACGGGCAAGTAGCCTGATATAGCTACTATGACACAAGATGTTCTGTCATTTAACAAACACACACGATTACTATGCGCCAAGCGGTAAGATATTAAGAGGTTCGGTATATGCCCTTATATAGCCTAAACCTATTAGAGGAAACAGACAATTAAATGATTACAATACAGCATGACAATCACCATAATAGAGAATTACAGGCCGCTATCAGAAAACGAGAACTTAATATAAAAATGCTTGATGGAAGTTTGGGTGTGGAAACGTAATGCCAAAGTGGTATGTCTGCTTAGTAGATGGGTACAAGCCACAAAGGTGGTAGTAGAAGGGGACAGAAAAAGAGAATTTCACCGAAATTTGCTGGCTAAAGCTGTTTCCAGGAGTGGAGCAAGATTTCAAGATTAACTTCTGATTCAAGCTCAGTCTAGGCAACTGAGCAAGATCCTCTCTCAAAGTAGGAAATTAAAAAAAATGAATGGGGATATAGCTCAGTTCAAACACCCTGGGCTAAATCCCCAGTGTTGCAAAGAAAAAGATTAATCTCTCTCAGTCCTTTTTGATCAATACTTCCTTTGCTCATAAATTGAAACCACTGAAACACCTATTTTTTTTTTTTTAGTAGGAGGGCAACACTTCCTTTCAGATAACTTCGTTTGCATCCATTTTTTGTTCTTTCTCATCTACTTTGCTCATCACTAAATACCTGAGGAATCCCCTCAGTACAGGATCCAACATTTAAAGAAAGTACATGTGTGTACCCAGTTCCGGAGGAACTGCTCAGACCTACCTACTAATCAACACACAGACACAAACACGAATATAACAATGATCTATACAAACATGCCCAGAGGCACAGATCTAGACACGCTTGTACACATGCATGTGCGCACACACGCACATGCAACACTGTCCCAGACACAATGACACTGTGCTTTTACCCGGCCAGCCGAATCGAGCGTAACACTGTGAGGTATATTGAATTTGGCAGGCTCCGTCCCATTTTCTCCATGCAGCCAAAGGATCATGAAATCTGCAAACAATAAATGTATATGGTCAGTGCACCACAAAGAATGCCTTACACATTTGTATGTTACGCTTTTCAAATTGCAAAACACTGTTTAATTATGTCTCCATTGACTTACCTATGCTTTCCTGGCCTCACATACTCGCTTGCCTAATTTGTACACTGCTTCAAACAATTAACCTACTTCTTTCATTATCTCCACTTGAATTTTTTTAAGATTGCTTCAAAATCATTGTTTAGGATTTCTGTCAGCCTCTTCCTCAAACTGGTTCTTCCTTCCAACTTATCTGTTATTTGGTGATCTCATTTCATTGAGCTTGAAAACTCACACTATGTTTTTATAGTGTGTCTCCCTTGTTAACTAGTCTACAGTTTGCGGCCCTCCAAAACATTCGCCCATATCCTAACCTCTGACACCTGCAGATGAAATTAAAGTAGGGATCTTGAGATGAGACCATCATGAATTTAGAGTTGGGCCCTAATCCTTAAAAGGGAAAGGAGGAGTATTTGAAACACAAAGACCTGGAGAAGGGGCCAGGGAAGATGAAGCTCCAGATTCGAGGCAACGTATGCCTGAGGCCAGGAGAGCCCAGGAAGAATTCTCATCTAGTGCTACTAGCAGGGGCCTCACCCATCTTATAGACTTCTGGATCCCCAAATGCTGAGAATAAATTTATTTTGTTTAGAACCACTGTGAAGCAATTTTTAATGGTGGCCACGGCGCCTAATATATTGAAATCCTACCTATTTTCTAAATTTGTTATGTTTCTTTCTTTCATGGAATTTTTCAGATTCTTGCTTTGCTCTATGCCACCTTCCTTCAGCTGTTACTGATCAGATTCACTGCTAAGTGATAAATTGACTACCTAGCCTCCAAATAATGGAACTCATTAGAAACACAGTCTGCCAAAGAAAACATATACACACTTCAGGAAAAGATAAATAGTACAAAGTTTTACAACAGACGGTGTTACCCCATATGAGGGCCCCTAGATATCACAGAAGCCCACTGCACTGCAGACCCGTAGAGAAGAAATTGAAAATATATGTGCAGCAATCTCCATGGACACTTTCACCGAGGTTACCAAGCAGCAGTTCACCATACTAATGAACGTCTGGAAGCTGACGGCCACCACTTTGAGCGTCAGCTGCAAGTGTAGGGGCCAATAGTTAACTTAGGGCATCGTAACAAATTTAGTATTAAAATATTCATACAAGTTTTTCTTTTTTCCTGAAGTGTGCACACATTTTTTGGCAGACTCTGTACATCCAATATAATACTGTTTCTTGTAAAACCTCTGCTTTTAGATAATCATGCTTGTACCAAAAACTTCAAAGAGACTCTACAGGCCAGTGGTGGTAAACCTACAGGATGCCTGTCCCAGAAAACACCACCAGTGCTATAGGCGAAATACAGTTTCTAAAATCTTCAGGTAAGTTTCAAACACATCCCAAATCTTATTCACCGCCGTTCCAAAAGTGCATTTTCAGCTCACTCCTGCTGATGATTACCTGTAGACCTGGTAGGCTAAGGCCTGTAGGCACACTGCGCCCACCCCAGTCCCCCTCCACCAAAACCAATTTAGTTCAAGGAGTACTTCATGAAATCGATCTTGTCCTACTTCTCTAGTCAATTTAGTTTCTCCTTCTTCTAATCTCCATTTGATTTTCAAAATCATTACCATAGATTACATTTAACTGTCTCATCCGTAGCAGACCCATCTTCACTGCTATTTTGTACTGAGGACACATATGAAAATATGGCTGGTTAATTAGCTTGTAAAGTATCTGACTCTGGGATTATGGATACCTAACTTCATTTAGTTGGGTAGGCTATCCACTTACCTCAAATTGACTATAAATTCTCAGTCTCTCCAGTTCCTTATGGAGGAACCTCCCGGCCATCGGTGAAGTATAAGGAGCCAGGACAGCAGAATCATGCATTATTGGCACTCCCGTCCAACTATCTTTCAGTTTTCTCCTAGTAATGTGTTCTAGTCCGTTACACACAACTTCATTTCTAACACAGTTATAATATTACACTATGTATTACACACATTAAGTCTAATTTATAAAATCATATTTCACAATACCACATAAAATTAAGTCGTATACCTTGAGACAGTTTGATCAATCTGTTATTCAATCCTCCATCTCCATCCACAATGTAAATATCTCCCGTGTCCTCTACATATAATTCTGCAGGATTATCAAACTGCAGGGGATTCAAACCAGTGCCTTTTTTGCCTGCAGTACCCAAGACTTGAACAAGATCACCAAAGGAATTGTATTTCTTAACAGTATGACCGTAGGATCCTGTAAAGACAGACAGACAAAAATAAAACCACTATACAACATCCAACTTTCAAATAAGCAGAGAACAAAATTTTGGAAGGATTAAACAGTAAGAAAAGGTTGATAGGCTCATATAATTTATTATTATAACTAACCAGAAATAGAATATCTATTATGGCCAAATTTGTTTATGAATTAAAATCTTAATTACTCCAAAATAAGGACACTCTAAATTGAAAAATAAACCAAAAAATCAATGCACATAGAAAGTTCACGGTGAACAAGTTACTTGTGCCACATTTTCTTTTTTAATCTCATGACCTTGAAAAAGCATTGCTTGTAAAAGGAAATCAAGAAGCAATGTATAAAGGACCAATTTACACTCCAAGTTGTTATTTCAATCACTTATATACAGATCTTAAATTTTAGATCAACAAAAAACTCCATAATAAAACATTTTTTAAAAAACTGTATTTTCTTCTAGTGGGAACAAATTCAAAATTGAACCCATAAATTTCCCTTTCCTAAGACAAAAATAACTTTTGAGGTAAAATGATCTTATAAGCGAAAGAATAAAGTAGAACACTGATAAAGAAGGGAAAATTATAAAGCAGTTAAGAGAAATAAACTTGAAGGCATACAACTGATAGGTATGCAAAAGACTAACTGAATATACTCTTACCAGAAATAAACTGAAACAGTTAGCATTACAATTCTATCTTGAAAAGCGTATTATTATTATTATATTTGATTTGGACACTTAAGCAAAAGTACACAGCCATAATAAGAAAAAACAATATTACCAGAGAAAGCAAACCTCAAAAGTATCTGAAGAATTAACAAACAGGATAAAATACTAGTAAATAATTTTTTTAAGAAAATGGCTTATTTGCAGCTATATTTTCATTAGAAAAATCTATTCCTTTTAAAAATGGGGAAAAAGAACATAATCGCAACCAGATCTGTTGGTGGGAAAATAGGCTATCATGGAAAACGTGAGACAAGTTATGCTCTTTTTACTTCTGGGAGCTTTTCTTATAAAAAAAAGAATAAAATGAACAGAATGAATTCAAAGACAAGACCTTTAGCAGTGATTCTGGGGGAAGAAAGAGTAAAAATAGTCAAATCTCATTATAGTTTGCCAATAAACTGGGATATTCTAGATTTTTTGTTTTAGCCACATTTTCCCATCTAAAATACACCTTCACGTAAGTGGTTTCTCCATTATCTGAGGCCCAGAAATCTTTTGAGTTCTGAGAAGACATGTGGTACGGGAATGGAGTGACTTATAAAAACTTAGACCTTATTAATTTATTT